TTTTAGCAATTAGTGTTTGAAGAAACGCATTTTTACTTGCCAGCGGGATGTTCTTCATTGAATACTCGAAGTCCTTCACTTGGAAATTCATTCTTGACAGCACTCAACTGTAGGGCAGGAGCTATGTAAATACTTGTATTCTGGGTAGAACGTATTCCGTAGAGCGCTCAATTCATTTAATTGAAGAGCATTGACTATTAATAATCACAGGAGTTCAGGCTTCAGGAGTAATCATTGATCGTTTATTGCGACAGTGCTGTTTCGTATGGTCCGAAATTGTAGGACCACACTCATCAGGCAACTTCAACGATTGACCGTTAAAATTAAAAGCTGGCAGTAAATATAGGGATGCGTTAAGAGATAGTATCTAGGTAACAGATGGATTGTGTCTTAGTTACGTTACTCTAGAGTTCTGAAGTACATATCTGTTTCTGTGGGGTTCATGCCCCCACAGAAACAGATATGTACTTCAGAACTCTAGAGTAACGTAACTAAGACACAATCCATCTGTTACCTAGATACTATCTCTTAACGCATCCCTATATTTACTGCCAGCTTTTAATTTTAACGGTCAATCGTTGAAGTTGCCTGATGAGTGTGGTCCTACAATTTCGGACCATACGAAACAGCACTGTCGCAATAAACGATCAATGATTACTCCTGAAGCCTGAACTCCTGTGATTATTAATATGTACATACATATGTATAAAATGACACTGACATGAATGAATAAGCCTCGTGAATGAATCTTTCACCCGCTCTCGACTTGACCTGTTTTGTGTAATGGCGGAGGTCTCTTCCGTTGACAAGTAGGCCATATATTCGTCGCTTATTTCTCTTTTTCTCGCCACCAATATCTGTTTTTATTTCTGTTTTACAGAATTGTAGTGGTCTGGCTTTCGTATTCGGTTTCAGTGTGAAGTTTGGGCCAACATGTTTGCCGCTTTCCTCCAGCCATCGTCCAGTTGTCGAGCTTCTGATGCTCAGGAAACCTACAAAATCATCCTGTTTCCTTGAAGATATACGCGTCCCTTTTGATTGCAAACAGCAAATCACTACTAAACATTAAAAGTAGAATACATCCCACGTAATTGTATTTGAAAAGAAGTCCGTACAAAGTTGTTTTAGGTGGAATCCGTGCTAAACACTCTGCAAGTTTCACTGAAAGTCTTCATTTGCAATTTTTGTTTATCCTCCAACGCCTCGCTTTCATGACTAGGCACCAGTTTTTTCCCGCGTGTCCGCCATTTGTGAATACGGTGTATGCAAACCCGAGACGAAGTCGAGGGTTTGCATAACTGTCGAGAATTCTCCCAACCCCTCTCGTGTTTATATCAGGCTATGCAAACACAGGAAAAACGTTTTCTATTGCTTTTATAAAATAACTTTCCCAAGAAAAAAACGCAAAACTCTTTGTATGGCGCTGATTAAAAGAGAAATTCTTACCAGTCGCAAAATCTTGTCCACGAAGTCTTGCACGCGTAATCAGTTCTTGTTTTGTAAAAAGATGCTTTGCAAAATACGGATTTTTCTCGCTTAAAACGGTCAGCTTAAGCGAAAAAAAATGTACACACCTTCTTTTTAACGACTTTCCAAGTTTCAGCAGACGAAGGAATGGGTAAATAAAGTAAACTTTTTGAGTTTTGAACTCGAAAACTTTTTCAAATTTGTGCTTGCGTGATTAGCGCGCGAAAAACCAAACAACTTGACGCCACAACCATGTTTACATACTCTCATGCAAACACTCCTCTCGGCCAATCAGAGCGCCCGTACTATCTTAGTTATTTTATAAATATATATATATCTATCACATTCATCTCTTCCACGGGAACATATGAACTTATACTTGACCAGCTCCCAACATCAGTGGCTTCATATCTCAGTTGGTTAGAGCATCGCACTGGTATCGCTGGGTCAAGGGTTCAAATCCGTTGAAGTCCTGAATTTTTTTAGGCTTCTTACGTAATTGCATAAATTCTGTAAATTAAGTTTACAACTGCGAGGATCATTCTTCATTTGATTTTTAAGTCAATTCAGTAATTAATTAAAATGATTTGTTAGTGATTGATCAATATATGTAATTGCACGAAATAATTTACGTTTTATTAGGTGCGGTTACAAACACCGTGGTAAAAGGCATTTCCCACGTCAGAACGAAGCCGCGGTAAAAGTTAACGTGGGTTTAGGGCCTGTTTACATGCAGGTGGGGGACCCCAGGTAGTGAGGTAACCCGCCTGTCCACATAATCTCTCATTTTAATTTGATCACGTTTCCATGATGGGTGGGGTGACCCTCTGCATGTTACCTCACCTATCTAGGGTCCCCCACCTCAATGTAAACAGGCCTTTAGTTTACCGTGGTAACATGTGGTTACAAGTGAACTAATCCCAAGGTAATTTAGCCGATTTTACGGCTTCATTGGCGCTATGCGGTACTGTACAGCGTAGACCACGTTTTCAAAGACTCCACTTTCAAGCGTGAGGCTCAGTTCTGTTAACAATTATATTAATAAGTCGTTCGTCAGAAATCTATCGTAACCTGACTGTACAAGCCACACTGGAAGTTTTAAAATAAATGTATGTAATGTATACGTGTCGACAATGCTTGCGCGTACGATCTCGATAACTCGAAACCTCCGCTAACTCGAAATGGAAAACTAATTTCCTTTCCCTTGAGCAAAATTTCACTGAAATTTACTCCGATAACTCGAGTTCCCCGCTAACTCCAACTGTTTCTCGTTTCCCTTCAGATTTCGAGTTACCGGGCTTCTACTGTACTAATAAAACAGTAACAAAGGAAGCATTATAGTAGTTGGTCTGGTTATGCGCCTCTAGTATAAAGGCGGGCACAAGACGCATTATGCGTCCAGACGAACTACCTTTCGTAGTGTGTCGTTCAAGACGCATTTCGAAGGAAAGTTCGTCCAGACGCATAATGCATCTTATGCCCGTCTTTATAGCGAAGCTCTCGGGCACGCGAAGCGCGCGCAGCGGAGCACCATGGGTAAGAAAATTTTGTAATCTATGCATCCAAAAAATTTTGGTTCTGAGAAAATCGTACGTACGTGCGTCAACCCCTTCATGTAAGCCGGGATGAAATTTTGCATTTCAAGCACCCGCGCGTTTCAGCAGTAAATCGCATAGCTTCCCGGCCTTTTAGTGATAAATACAAGAACAACGAAAGCCGATTCTTTATTTCGACTTAATTTCAATGTCTACGTTAACGTGGATAACAGGGAAAGAGCTGGGGCGAGAGATAAAAATCAAAGGAGGCCAATTTCGTTGGAAGAAAAACATAAAAAAAGAATTATAGCGGCGGTGGGCAAAAGGGGAAATGCAAGCTGCCACCAAGGTCAAAATGAGCGGCAGCGAAAAACTAGTGAACAGAAACACATACAACATTTCCTCCATAAAACGTGTAACTAGGAAGTTTCTGGAAGTTTCACGTTGTAGTCGTGCAAAACAACGGCAAAGAAATGTAAAAAAATCGTGCAAAAGTTGTTTTTTGCCAATTCGGAAAAAATGTTTGCTGCACGTGCAATTTTTTTGCGGCTAATTAGACCTACTGATTTTTTTGGCTGTTTTCGCTGCCTTCGCCGCTTGGCGTTACATGATTTTATATTTTGTTTAGTAAACTATATTTTCACGAGTGATTCGCTTTTAGCCTTGGCTAAATCTACTGATATTACTTGAGACGCATAACTAGATGAACTACAAATGTCTGCCCAAGTTTGTCCAGACGGATAATGCGTCATTAGTACAAAAAAAGCCATTCACTCTCTACTTCACCAGTAGTTGCTTCAGCCATCCGTTACAAAATGCAACTCAAGATTTTCTGAGCTACTTATGGTGACTGTGAAAGCCATTTTCTTCGTTTTATGGCCCTGTGTGATAGCTTCACCCACGGACGTACAAGGGGGGGGGGGGTGGTTGCCTCCCTGAGATTTTTCTAGACGATAAAACATCAGCATCTGACTTTTTCACTAGCTGTTCGTTCATCCCTTGCGCGCATTTTGAGACAAGTTTAGTGATGGTCAGTTACTATGATTACGAGATATGACGTCATAAGTAGGAAGTGGTCAAGCCATTTTTGAGTGAAAATGTATGTTTTCTCAATTTTTTCAACAATAAAAGTAAACACTGTGGATAAAATGATGCAAACGCTAATTTATCTTATTTTACATGTCAAGCAAAAAAAATACCATTTCTTGTGGTAACAGGCTAATTGTCACGGAAGCGCGAAATTGTCATGAGTAGTACTAGCTATACACCGAGCATGGACAAGCTATGATTTTCATCCACTTTCCAAAATATTAATCACTGCAACTCGCAGCCCAATGTACGCCTCTTATAGGCGTCTTGCTTCCCTATTGTGATAGGAGTTGGTCCACATTGATTTATTGATTGTTTTTTTTTTTTTTTGCCTTTTTTACATATATACGTGGTCGCAAAATGTTAACGAAGTAATCCCTCTGCTTAAAGTTAATAAAGTTGAATAAAGCAAGAATCGAAGAGAAAATTGTAACTTAATATCAAAGCCGCCGGGTGATCTTTTAAATTTTTCGTGGTCGCAAAACGCTAACGAATTAATCCCTCTTAGCTTAAAGTTGAGGAAAATTAAATAAAGCAAGAATCGAAGAGAAAATTGTAGCGCAATATTTTTAGCTTGTGGCCAGTTGCGTTTTCGTGTCAACCTCATTCATTTCCTCTTGCCTGAATGAGGCACGTGAATCGGGTTGGTGTTGGACCAGTGGGAATGGGTTTAATGTATTAGTTACTCCTTTTTATAAGCCTTTAGTGGTCTGTTCTCGTAAAGTTCTTGCTTTCATAAAATACAATATTTCTGTCTTGTCTGAGTGTTATGGCAACCCACCATTAATTAGTAAAACGCCTATTGGAGTTACCCTAAACCCCAGACCTCTACCGTCTTTACACTTATCTTTACGCATGTGTCAAGATCAGAGCATGCCCACTACATTCTTAACCGAAAACGTTTAGAAAATGGCCTCAGCTAATCCAGATATTTTATATAAATTTGAGTCTATGAGAACGAAATGGAGACACTGTTTTGAAGAGTATAAGCCTGATATAGCAAAGACTGTTAAACACTTCTTTGGCCGACAGTTTTACAGAAAGCACAAGCATTCTACGTATGTGATCGGCGAACTGCCCGACGGAATATTCTTGTTCGTAAAACCTACCATGTACCAAAACCTTAAGAAGAAAATTGAAGAACTAATTGAAGAGACGTTGCCTGACGTTCGACCGACAACTGGTGCCACTGTTATAGAGGAAGAAAAATGGTTTCCAGATGAGCAGTCTTTTACTGAGTTTCTCGATGCTAAAAGGGAAGAACATTATAAAAGTGTTGAAAGGTAAAGTAATATTTACAGCTATTAAAGACTTATAGCGGGCCATATGACGTCGGCGGCGATCACACAAACATAAACAAAACCATATAACTGGATTTGAAAACAAAACCATGCCACGTTGGTTATCGACCGCAAGTTTTCAGTTTTCTAAACGGTTTGCTGATCATAGAAATGACGTCAAAAATCGGGTTGTGAAAACCCACGGCAAAGTTATGAGCATTTGTTATGTTGTGTAATTTCTATTGCCGTTAATAGCTTAGACAAAGAAAAATGTAGTCGATTCGTTTTGTACTTTTTTTCCTACAACAATACTGGCGTTTCTCGGAAACAGGGTCTCGGAAGCAGCTCTCCGTCGAGTTTCTCGGAAAACTGATTTTCCTCCCGTGTGACATTAAAAAATGGCGCCTTTATTGAACTATTTTTGAACAGATTGTCATGATACTCAGTTCACAGTTTTTTTTAGCCATTGCATTTGTTACAGCCAGCAAATACTTGCGCGTCCGCTTATAATGAAGAAACTATGGCTTTTATTAAAGGAGCTGTGTCACAAAATGCCTGTCAAATTAAGAGAAACATATAAATAACTGCTTAAAACTTTAAAGAAGGGTTAAAATAACATAACAGGAACAACAGATGTCACGGATGGGCAAAACTGAAGAAGATTAAAACGGATTGAAATTAGGATTTTTGAAAACTGTTCAGCCTAACAGTTTTTCAAAGTTGTCGATCCCCACTGTTTGCAACTTCAAAAATAATGCTCAGGAGGCAGGCATATTTGTTTGTCTCGGGTCTCTGATTTTGTCATTTACATGTAATTTCTTTGCTTACTTTAACTTGCATAGTGATTGAAGGCGAGTAATTGGCAAAATTAAACAAAATGAACTGGACTGCCGTGACACAGCCCCTTTAATCAGGAAATTTATACATGGCTCGAAAGCTGAGGAAAATAAATTAAACAAAAGAAATGAATTATTGATAACTGAATCTCAATGTGATTTCTTTTGTTTTATTCCTTCAGCCTGGGTCAAAAATTCGAAACTGGTCAATACAAAAATGACCTCTTCAGCTTATCTGTTTTGTTTTGCCAATGCAGGTCTCAGAAGAATGAGTTTGTTTGTTTCAAGAGCCAAACACGAGCCTGAGCCATCCACGCTCGAGCCAGCCTCGAGTCTACAAGCCCCAATGTTCATTTTTTTCCTATTTTTGACTAGTCTGAATTTCAGACATTCCTTCGAGTCATTTACTCCTCTCAGCGACGTAAGCCGAAAACCGGGTAGTGATTTTGATTGGTTGATTGCTGAATGGTGTATTCGACTTGAGGGAATGTCTGAAATCTAGGCTACGGTTTTGAGTTTCATGGCCACAGAAAAGCAATGAATAGTTTGAAGAAATAATTTGTTACGCGCTCAGGCGTGACTTCGTGTCGAAGGAAAAGAAAGTTTTCTTTTTCACAGCCATAAACTGCGCCTGTTTGCTCTTTTAGGTCCTTTCAGAGACCGCAATGACAAATTTCCCAACCCTTTCAAATTTTTCAACTAATGAAATCCGTACCCTCTTATACTGACCCGGATCCTGAAAAAGATACCCCTTTCGGGCGGAGCCTCCCAGTTTAGGCCATTATAGGGGGTACCCTATTCCATGGGCGTCGAACCCAATAATGCGCGGAATACATCGAGTATTTTGACTGTTATATTTTGCCTTTAGGGCTTTAATTTACGGTGCGAAGTAAATTAAAATCAACTTAACATTTTATTATCCTTCTCAGGAGACAGCAGGAAGCAAATACAAGCTTAAGACGACTACGCAAGACCTTGAAAGCCAGTCCAGGAGCGAAGATTCTGGCATTTAACCTGGTGGTGTTTGAAGGTGACCACAACGTCGTCCTTGAGATTGGCTACACTAGGACAACTCTACGAGACATGCCACATCAAAAGCGAGCGTTTCACTACATTATTAAAGAAAACCTCAGGTATATGTGCGAGTTTTAAACCGAAAAATGCATTTAATTATTTATATCACAAACGGCGACACTTCAGCAGTTAAATTAAATGTTACTTATCACAACTTCCCTCTTGACTGGTTGTAGAAACTAATTTGCGCTTCCGGTTACTTGAATCCCAGCTGGAAGGCCTCAACAAGCAGCTTGAGTAAGATTAAACGTTCAACGTAGTATCCGACGAACTGATTTCAATTGTGAGACTTGATTTAAAAATCCTAGCTATTAAGCAGCGAAAAAGAAGGCAGCGTGGCCGAGTGGTTAGGGGGCTGGACTATTAATCCAGAAGCCCCGAATTCAAGTCCCGCCCACGGCTTGATTTGTTCTCGGTAGTCCCGACTTCAAATCTCCGACCATGCTTGTAGAATAGTTTCCAACTGGTTGGGATGATTATCATCATCATCATCATCATCATCATTATTATTATATTTTTGTATTTTAAAGTCACTTAGCCAAAAGAGTTGAGACCGTTACTGTTAATTACCACTAATTTGTTTACGGTGAATGTTTCCGTGAAAATATAGTGATCAGTGTGGAGCCTGAGAACTCTGCAGTACTCCTGCAAATACCACCGCCTATTTTTAAACAGGCGGTGAGATTCATTAACTTGAATGTCTTTTTCTCTGACAGGTACGAAAACAAGAATAGGAATCGCTTCGAGTTTGGCACATCTCAGCGCATGTCTCTCAAAGAAGCCGCTGCAAAAGTCCAGGAACAGATCGCGGCAGTAGACATCCTAGTTACACATGGCGGAGCACAGGATGCAGAATTGCTTGAGTGCTGTGGGATTTCAGTGACAGAGAAGATCATGTTTGACACGCAACTTCTAGCCATGGTTTTAATACAAGATCGACGACTGGACCTCAATAATCTAAAGCAATCGCTGGTCGAGTTGGAAATCCCATTTGATGAAAATGTTCGCCTTTACAACAGCGGAAATTATGCCTACTTAAACACGGCTGTATTTCTGAAACTTAAAGACATCGCAGTCTCGCGAAAGTAGCTCACTCAACTGTATCTTCAAATCGATTCTGAACAATTCTATGAGTAAAGGAAACATTTTGTTTTCGTATTGTAGGTGGTTTTGAATCCCTTTTATATTCTTTAAACTTTTTAGGGGTCTTTCAGGGAGTTGCATCACTATTACTCAGATTGTATGAAAGATTATTTCTTTTTGAGTCAAAATAATTTTTCATGTGTTATTGTTGCTATGGTAACTTGGTACGCCAAGAAAAGTTACGGCATCCCAGAAACTGAACAAAATACGTCAAAGCTCTAGTATTATCTGTCACCCAAAGACTGGGTAAAAATACTATTGAGAACCGTTAAGGATCATGTTCACCCTATCAACTTTGAGCGCCTCTTTGGCCTTTAAACAAGACTGAACTGCAGTTGTGACGTGAAGAATTTTTGCAGTGGTACGCCACTGTTTTCCAGATCTATCCTATCCCTTCTTCTGCGGGTGTGACACTAATAAAATTTGCGTCTAAGAATTAGTGTTGTAGTGATTTAGTTCCCTTCTTTGGGCGTAAGACCTTTTTCTGAAAGCATCGGTTAAGGCCTTCGCTTGCTAATCAGCATTTTTTTATTTGAAAGCAGTTAAGGCAGAGTTAAGCCCCGCTCGGACTCCGAGCGTTTCATGAGCCGACTGATTTGAATTAAGCCTGACCCAAATTATTAAGACCGGCTGAATTGATTCAGACGCCGATCTTAATTCTACCGTACTAAATTCAAGAGGAGAAAAATATTCACTTCGGTCAAACTACTTCCAAAATACGTCATAATAACTTATGCATCTGGTTCGGTTCATGGAAAGGTCGGCGTCTGAATCAAAGTCGTCCCAATATTCATCCAAAGGCGAAATTCCCGGCTGGGCTAGGCGGGAAGAACGGCTGAGCCGTTCCAAATTGAAACAGGCGTTCCTCTGAATTATTCAGACGCCGAACTTTTCATGTACTTAATTCAATGTGTTAGGTTCGGCTCATGAAAAGTTCGGCCGCGTCTGAACCGAGCCTAACATACGCGATGGCACTTACTCCAGCAATCACTTATAGTTTCCATTTGTTGATTTCTTTTATTTTGTTTTGTTTTTTCTGTTTTGTTTTTGTTTCTTTCTATTTTTCACGTTTTTTTTGCCCGCACGTCACGTCTCTAGCATACAAGTAGCTACACCCCATCTCGGTGCCTGTCTCGTGATCAGTGTTGTTCGCAGGTTTTTCTTGGTCTCTTGACCTGTTTCTTCCCGTTACTAATCTGAGTAGTCAGGCTGTTGAAACGGTTTCCCCTCATGCAATATATAATATCAGAAACGTGACTAGCTAAAAGTAGAAATAAGATGACTTGAAGGAAAATTCCTTGGCTGTGCGATTCCAATACCGTGGTTTCTATACTGCAGTTTAAATGTCTTAAATATCCGAGTTCTTCGGGAGCGGATCAAGAAAATTTGATAAGTGGTGGCCGGGATACTTTTTATTTTACTGAGAGTTTTTTTTTTGACATAATACGAAATATCACAGAAAAAGGTGGGGAGGGGGCAGCTGCAGTCCCCCCTGGCCACACCCCTACCCTCCCCCCTCCATACTCTTTAAAGAGTGACGACTACTGCGTTACACTGCCGGGTGTTATTTTTATGTCTAGTATGTGAGCAATTAGACGAGCAATGGCCTGTGCCTATTTGTTTGGAAGAAAATGTTTAAAATTTAAAATGTTGTCTTTACCATTGATGACTTTGATAACATGTGGATTTTCAAGGAGGTTAAAGATAACAAAACGAAAACTTCAAAATAATTTTCTTTTGAATCTGAAACCGTAAGTTTTCTGAATTTCGAACTGATTGGAATATGATCGGGTATGTTGCGTCATATATCATTTTTAAATATAGACACCTTTTGTTTCCATATTTAGTTATTCTATATTATACAAACAAGCTCATACTGACATATTGCTATCAGTTCAAGTGTTCCTCCATTCGCTTAGTGCAAATATCATCGAATGCGTTTATATGGCTTCAGGAAATTCAGACGTTCTGTATAAATACGAGTCCATGAGAATCAAATGGAGTCGATGTTTTGAGGAAGTTAGAAATGATCATGTGGCTGACTCGATCAAAACGTTCTTCCGCAATTTTCATAGAAATCACAGAGGTTTTACCTTCGTGGTTGGGGAGCTGTATGATGGCACAACTCATCTGTTTGTTAAGCAGTCTAGATATCGACAAATCAAGAATGAGATAGAGGAACGAGTTGATGAGACTTTGCCAGACGTCGCACAGTTCAGGGATGTTACAATTATAAAAAGAAGAATATCATTTCAAGGTTTTCAGTCGTATCGAGATTTTGGCAACATCCTCAAAGAAAAAAACCTGGAAGTCGAAAGAAGGTTCGTAAACCGTTTTGTAATTAAATTCGGGGTTAAGCAAACTGAGTCGTTGGCAGCAGCCTGCTTAGTTCGTTTGCTGATCTCTAGTTCAAGTCATGCCAAAAGAGCCGGGGGAGAGAGGGCTTGCTGGCGAAGGCTTTGTTGACGCGTAGAAAATTCTTGTTTTATACGGCATCAAGCCTACTAGTCGCGACTTGTTTCATTATAAACGGATTGACAACGTTTCTTCTGATAGCACTGTGGAACATTGACTGTTCTTAATATTGATAATATCCTTACAAACTGATGTAACTTGTAAATTTTTGGGTTGTGCACTGTTCCCTGTCGAAAAAACAATTGAGGAAGAATATGTTACGGCAAGTTCCTAAAGGATGATTACGAAAATAAAAATCTACCAATTAGTTACTGGGATCTATTACCTCATTTTCTATATGTGAATAAAAATATAATACTATAAATTCAATGGTTTTTAGTGGAACGGTTGCCTGAAGATGTTATTCATTTTATGCCAGGTGTTGTCGTCAGTTAAAGGATTTTTCGTTTACGCTCTGTTTAACCTTATTCCAACGGTTCCGGTTGCTGTTAAGGGAGCTTCGATTGGGAAATCTTGATTTAGATTTTGAAATCGGGATTTCGGATAGTTACTGTAGCTAAGGCTTGTCTGCTTCTAAACCGTTATTTTCTGATAATTTTTAGAAGATATGCAGACGCAAGAAAAAGTGTAAGAAAACTACGCAGGACTCTAAGAGCAGATCCAAATGCCCTGATTTTGGCATTTGACCTGGAAGTTTACGAACATGACCACAGTATCATCTTGGAGATTGGCTACGCTATGACAACCTTGAACAACCCGAAAAAGATGCAAACGTTCCACTACATCATTAAAGAAAATCTAAGGTATGTGAGCAGTTGGAACTGCTAAGAGGGAAAGCCTCATGAAAGCCTTGAGAATTTTCAGGCCGAGGTTGAAAATTACCATATCCTGTTGATTTAATTTACTAAAGATTTCACACTTGTGTGCTGTATGCTAAGAAACGTATGTACCTCAGTGTATTCAAGATATGAACGTTTACTTCGGGTGGATATAAAGGACTGTATCTTGGTCAGCAGTGACGAAAGGAGATTAACTAAATAGGGGACTAGTGCTTATCACGTCATGTTACAGAACCGAACAAAGCGACGGCTTACAACTGAACGATTGGGCCTTTCTTGATTCTTTGGGATTTTACTACCTTCTCACTGCCAATAACAATAATAATAATAATAATAATAATAATAATAATAATAATAATAATAATAATAATAATAATACTTAAATTATCTTCTTCCCTATGGGGCTTATCAGGGATAATCAGGGAACAAATAATTTTAAATGGAACATAAAAACATGGTTATAAATCCCAACGGGTAGGAGACGAACCAGTTGGCTATTTTACAAGCTTGACCGAGAATTTGAACTCGGGACAACCGAGAACAAATCCAGCTGGCGGTCCAGCGAATTAACCACTCGACCAAGCTTCCTCCTACCAAAAACAGAGCAAGTATTGGTATTTATTTTGCATAATTTTACAGGTACGCAAACAAAGATTTTGTGCCTGATAACAGGGATCACTTCATATTTGGCACCTCAAAGCGCATGTCTCTTCGAAAAGCAGCTGCAAAAATCCAGGAGCACATTGCGGACGCTGATTTCGTAGTTACTCACTCTGGAGCACATGATACAGAGTTTCTAGACAGCTGTGGGGTCTCCATATCAGGGAAGCTCATGTTCGACACTCAGATCCTTGCTACGGCGTTACTTCCAGACGGACCACCGCTCTACAGTCTGAAGCGGCTGCTGGAAGACTTGGAAATTAAATTTCATGAAAAGATTCTCCATAATGACGGAAATGATGCTGTCTATACTATGAAGGTGTTTCTAACTTTGACGCAGCATGCACTTTGAAGGGCCCTACAAAGTACCTGTGTAAAAGCTATATCTCCAGTAGTCACACCAGAAATTCCTTCAAATAATTCGTTTACAGGAATTTCCATACCCGTCGATTGACTAAGTCAACGGTAAAATGATAAAAAATGGGTATTTTAGCACAGGGTGGGATACGTGACGGTATAAATTGAAGTTTATTATTATGATTAGGCGCCTCCATTCTCATAAGCGACCCAGTTCTATTAAGCGCCCCTAATCTAATATTACAATATTAGAGAACGGGTATGTACCAGCCGAGGTTTATTTTCCTTTAATTGCTCACAAACGATAATGTCACAGTACAAAACAAGGATCCTTTCGACGGAATCATCGAATTGGATGTTGAAGAAAGCACACTGAGAAAGCTTTTATTTACGGTATTTATGTAAGTGACACTGTCAAAGATATCCGCGTAGAAATAAATCGAAAATCCCTCACGTTAACTGATCATGAACATTCACCGTATATTTTTTACCGTTACAGCTTCTGTTATTGTTCCATTTTTAAAGAATATTAAAGTTTTGTTTTGAGCATTCGGTTGTTTCTCAAAAGAGAAATAAGTGCCCTCCCTTAAGGTACCAAAAGTAAATAAGCGCCCCGGGCGCTAAATCGAATCATTACGGTACTTAAATTAGAACAGCAGCAAAAAAGATTTTCTAAAATCCATTTCCAATTTGCATATTTTTCTTTCTTTCTTAGACATTTGAAACAGAAATGATAAATAAGTTCATACACTCCCGTGGTTCCCTCGAAAACCATACCCGATAGGCAAAGTCTAGACCCGTTTTCAGACCAAAACGCGCCCCCCCCCCCCCCAAAAAAAAAAATTCGATCCGGGATTTTTTTGGGGTAGTAAAACTTGGCAAGTATTGTTTTGGGTGGCTTGATTTATGTAGGAACAACAAAAATCTGAAGATTCCTGATAGTGTTCTGTTCTTGTTCTGCGATTAAAGTTCAACCGGCAAACTTGTTTTCCTCTCTGGAGATTTTTTAAGGCTCAGAACGGCATGGGATTTTTGGAGGGTTAATTTTTGGTCAAGGGATTTTTTGTGGGTTTGGTTGAAAGCCCTAGGGATTTTCTTGGGTTTTGAGATTTAGTCCCATTCAATCATCCCTGTCCCTTGAAATCTGGAGTATCCACGCTGGGCAAAAACCCTTGCCTCTGGGGTGGCACATATCTATATGGCTTATATATGGGCGTACCCCCCCCCCCCCTGGGGGAAAAGCCCCTATACCTACCAAGTATTTAACAGAAATGCTCTAACTCATTTTAAAAGAAAACGCATTTCAATTTTGTAGTAGCAATTACCTACAGACCCAGGGAACTGCCATGGGAACAAAGATAGCCGTTGCTTTTGCAAACACATTACAAACCCACAGAAACTTTTCAGTACACAAAAGTTCTACTCGTGTCACCCATCAGGTGTGAAGAAAGGCTTCATTAAAGAAGAAGTGCTCCGGCTTCTAAGGACCTATTCCACTCAAACCACCTTTGAGAAAAATATCCAAAAATTTCGAAAATAGCCTGACAGGAAGAGGCTACCTCGCCGCTATTGTGAGAAAGTACCCCTCTGAGGTAAAATTCGCCGACAAGAAAACAGCTCCTTAAACAGAGAAACAAATCCGCCCCCCCCCCCCCAAAAAAAAACTACCTTTCATTACACAAAGTCAATACCACCCGGTGTAACCTAGCCTAACGAAAATACTAATGGGGAAATTCCACCTTATACCTAACCAACAATGGCTAATAGAAATCTTTAAGGAGCCTCCCCTCATATCATATCGCAAGGGAAATACACTGAGGAACTATTTGTTAGAGCGAAGCTCTGAAGGTCAGATTACGACCAAGTGCATGGGTCCTGTGTTGACCGTCGCCAATTTTTAAATCTGGTAACCTGAGATGTGTCAAGTTTGATTCCATGCTTTCTCGGTTACGTCTGACCAAGGGAGTCAAAGGTGACCCAAGGGGATTGCAGTGTATGTCAATTTTTCCATCCTCCCATCCCTTGTCCTCACGCAAGTTAAAAAAGCCTTAAAATTACCTTCTCATCGATATCTCCCTACTCCCACAACATTTCATTTTCTCCCTCCTCCCTACATTTTCGTCCCGATTTCTCCCTCCTCCTTACTTTTTCAGGCCATATCTCCCTCCTCCCTATTGTGTACCCCCCCTCCTAATGTAAAGAAGTCTCACCATAAGCCTTCAGCTTCTTGAGACTTCCTCGCTTTTTGATATTCCTTTCTTTCGAAATGTGTATATTACGTGTAATTTTATGTTTTCCCCCCTTTATTTATGCGTAAAAAAGGCAAAAACAACAACAACAACAATAAATCAAATCAATGATGTGGAGTTTGTCGGAACTTACTTTAAACAATGCAAAACGTCACACCAAAAGGTTAATAACAGATTGCTTACCGTAATGTTAGTTGAAGATTCGCTCAGGTTCGTCATTTGACTGACGTATTATCACGGAAGAAAACTTTCGTGTTTTTTCTCCTCAAGTTGACATGTACCGCGGATCATTCGTATATTTTATCTTTCACAAACACATACGAGATCTCTACATCTATTTGAGCACTGTGCGACAACTCCGCGTGATTAGCGTAATGGGCAGATTTAGACAACGCGACGCCGTTTGAGAACGCAAAAGCGCTAGAAACTGAATAATCAACGCGACTTCCGGTGCTCAATTTGCCGCTACGCCATTGGTCAATTCGGTTTTTAGATCTTCGACCGCTGTTTTCACTGTCTCCACCTTGTTTTTCCTGTAAAATCTCCCCAACAGCGTGATGATGACAATGACTTCTCACATCTCGAAGTCTCGTAACACCATCATGTGATCGTGGTGGCATACTATGGTTAGCGAAATGGTGCATTAATGGTTTCATTCTTGTTCACGAATATACATTCACATTCAACTGCTACGTTGTCATTCAACATCATACACAAATTCACATTCAACGACAGTTCTCAGTTACGAATATATATATATTTACAGTTGCAACATATCTTCATTCACATTCAAGGTCAAAATTTTTATTCAACACTGTTGTTATATTCATTCAACAGTTTGTTAATGTGCTGAAATTCACGAATTCCATGTTCCTTCACATTGAACGATTTAATTCTTTTTCACGAATACATTCATTCACGTTCAAAGGTCAAAAATTTTATTCAACACTGTTGCAATATTTATTCAACATTTTATGCGCATTCTTCTTTACGCATTCCCAGGCGTCCAGCCTGCACTATCTTTGGAAACAGGAGACCCACCTTGGTGATTTAATTTGGAGTGCACCAGTAAGGCGTTGTCTTCGAGAAGAGATCCGAACTTTCAATGGTGGAGCACAAGTCTTTTGAAACGAACATGGTAAAAATGGGTTTGAGTCTACGTGCATGACTCCTACTGTGTGATTATTGTTTTTTTTTTCAGCCTTCATAGTTTTGCTTTGACAAGCATATCTTTAAGGATTTTTCATTTCTATAAGAGATCAAGGGAGGCTCTTTGAACAGCTCTCTGATGGCTGTTCTTGTATCAAAATTACCATTTGCCCATTAGTATGTTTTCAAACATGGTAATGATGGTTGAAATTGCGTAACAAGACTGGCAATGGGGCGGAGCTTTCGATTCGTTCTGTGTTTAAGTATAAGAGCTACAGTCGACTCCCGCTAACTCGAAGCAATTTTCATTTCTCTTCAGAACATTTTCTATATAATTTTACCCTCGATAACTCGAACTTCCGATAACTCTAACTATTTTCTGTTTCCCTTGAAGGTTCGAATTATCGGGAGTCGACTGTACTTTTCTGTCAGGATGGTATTTTTCTGAGAGGATTGCCCCCAAACGTTTTCTTAGGATACCCTCTAGAAAGTGAGGCGCCTTTTGAATTTTATTAATGTTGTCTGTAAAAGTAACCCTTGAGGAGATTGTTCTTATAGATCGTTTTCACTGTCACGCAACAAAACAATAAATTGAAAACCGTCCAGTGAAAGAAGTCAAGAAAATGATATGTTATAAAAGACTAATTTTTAAACAATTTGTCTAAGTCTCAGGTCTTTTTGGCCCACAGTTTCTGAGTTATTTGCCGAAACGTTTCACGCATCTTTGTAGAGCTTTGTATGGAGACGCCATATTGGTGCACAGTTTTGGTGCACCAATATGGCCGCCGAAAATCAACAAAAACATCAGGAGTTCATTTGTTCTATAAAAGCTCCTTCTTTTCACTCGAGAACTAGCCTACGTGCGCATAAACATATCTTCTAATACTTGAAATGGTTATACTGCTGAAAATCAAGAGGAGAGACTTTTTTTCAACGAGACAGCATTCCTATTTTGGTGTCACGCACTCTGAAAACTCGGAAGTTCAAATTGCTGTATTTTCGAAATGAAACATGCTATGGGACTGAAAACTTGTACAAAGATTAACTTTTTGTTTATCTTCAACCTAGTGTAAATAAGAGTTCGTAAAACCTCGCTATTTTGACTTTACAATTTGATGACGTCACTGTGAAAACCATCTATAAGCCTGAGTCTCCTTTGTCAAAGCCTTTTTGACGGCTCGGGTGCCAACGTGACAGCAGTGCGTGACAGCTGTGGAAGTGAGTATACTGAAAGGCCTCAGTAGTCTGTGAAGTGTGTAGAGACAACGAGAAACTTTTTTTAAGAACGTTATTTTAATTTGTGAAATTTCAGCAGTACACTACTGAGTAGGTTGTTAACGAAAAGGTCTAAAAATTCTTTATTTGCGTCTAACAAACATAACGTATCGTCAATAAACCTTTTCCATATTAACAGTGTGTTAGTAATTTGCCTCAGAATCTTCTTTTCTAGTTTGGCCACAAATATAAGGATTTCTTTCATGAAACTCTTCGTATGTTTGACATACTAAATTCGCTCCTCTTGTGGAATGTTTTTGTATTTTCCGTGGGGGGGTACTCCCTATAATGGCCTATACGGGGAGGCTCCGCTGTAAAGGGG